ATGGGAGATGGTTAGCATGCACACAAGTAAGGGAACACTGGAAATCAAGGGACACTCCATTTATACGCTTCATATCAATTGGGAAAATAAGGCCAATAGAATACAGAAGTCAATTTAAAAAAACAACTGTCTGAAAACAACCTTTTAAAAAACAATTGTAAAAAACTAACACATTTTATCATGCTGTCCTCCCTGCAGAAATATTTTTACATTAGCTGCTTATTTGAAAATCCACCTGCTCCAGGTTAACTATGCTTAACCTAATGAAAGTCATCTACAGAAAGCTGTAAATGGTGTTCTAGCAGAAGTGCTAACAGACTGACAGAGAAACTGAGGCAAAACTAAGAGTAGTTCCACAAATCTGATCCTATGCAAACTGTTGTGCAATGTCAATTCCCTATGCTATGCAAATTAGTATGATTTCAGTTTTCTATGATATATAAACTGCTGTGATGTCAGTTATCTGACACTATGTAGACTGCTGTGATGTCAGTTCTCTATACTATGTAAACTGCTGTGACATCGGTTCTCAGGAATTGACTGAATAGTAGTGAATCTCAGAACATCAGCATCTTGATATTCTCTACAATCCAGCACCAGGGCCAGAACTCTTCAGATTCTGCATGTGTGTGGTTATAGTACCATATCCTTATAATCTGCTGTCTCTAAACACGATAAGCATGAGAAACACAGGGCCAGAGAAAACAAAACAAACCAGCAAATTCTCATATTTTTTTCTCACCAGATTTAATTTTATTTATTTTCAAGTATATGTAAGGAGGGGAACTATGTATACATACATTCAGTGCCCAGAAAGGCTGGATTCCCGGGTGGTGGTGAGCTATTCAACAAGGCTAGGACCCAAACTCAGGTCCTCTGCAAGGGCAGTATACGTTCTTAACTGCTGAGCCATCTCCCCAGTCCTTCAGCTGTTTTATTTTAAAACATTATTATAAGTATACCTCAGTCTATAAAAAAATATCGAAGAGCAAAGACACCCATAGAATGGATCTTGTGTGAGGGGCACACCTAAATAAGATTATTCTATTAATCCCAGGGATCAAACATATGTGTCCTATTTGAACTAAATCTTTAAGTTTAAAAATGCAAGAGGCAGGGACAATAATAAAGTCTGGTCTCTGCTGAATGAGGCGAGACGACAAAACTGAAGATGTTCTCTGTGCACTGCAGCACTGGGTGAATTATTTTGTTATAACTCGCCAAGAAAATAGATTTCTTTAACAACAACAACAACAAAGCACAAATCCCCTTCCTTTCTCATGATTGTCTTCAGGACTCATGGAACACAGGAGGTAATGACTCTATGGTCAAGTTTTCTTTTTTAAAAGAGCTCTACTGGAGAGACCGATGGGTCTTAATAGTTTGCTCAGCTACACCACACTCTCTGAACTCAGCAACTCTGCGAAGAATTTCTGCCACTAAAAATCTTCCAAGAGACAAAAAAGCTGGGAAGAAAGAGAGAAGAGCTGAAAGGCAGAATAGAAAGAGGCAAAGGGATTTCTGGGAGCTTCGCGGAACTGCAGCTATTGCACACACAGCCTTTAAACAGACTCTCCAGCTGACCTCCCAGGTGGCAGATCCTCTCCCAGCCTCTCCCTTGGCTACACTTCAAAGTCTGACTTCTTGATGCTGTCACACCCACAGCGAGCTCCACTTTAAAGATCTAGTAAAGTCAAACAGAAAATAAGACTTTTATGATATTGCTCACTGAATCCTGATTATGTATCCATGACTTTCGAATGTAACTGCTGGAAACTTTCCACACACAACAGCAGGAGACCTGGGCAGAGGTAAGAGCTAAGAGGATTAGATGAGATGACATAAATGAAGAATTCTCCTGGGTCGGGACCTACAAGGTAGGAAACCAGAACTTCCTCATTTCCTGCTTGGACCATCTGCTGGACTCCTACTACCTTTCAACCTCTAGCTTACATATTGTTTCCATGAAATCTGTATTAATTCTGCACCCTTTTAACTCTTCATTTTAGTGGTGTATGAATGTGTTTGCATGGGTCTGTGTGCCTGTGAGCACAGTTGTAGCGACCCCCAAAGACTCCCTGCAGCTGGAATTATAGGTGGTTGTGAGCTGCCCGATGTGGATGCTGCTAACTGAACTCAGCCTCAGGAAGAGCAGAATTATGTTCTTAACCACGGAGCTGGCTCTCCAGCCTCTCCAGTATCTTTTCTATGCATGCAATCAATGACTTGCTCTCCCCCATTTCTCTGGCACTTTACAGAACCCTCTATTGCTTTGCAATTGCCAGTAAATGTGTCTTTCTGCTCCATTCAGGAATAAACACCTCCAGGGTGGGGTCTATAGTTAGCTAATTACTCCTTCCCCCAAATTTGACAGAACTGACCATGGAAACTTAGTCATTTACTGAAGAGATGATTTCATTGAAGTACAACACTAAAATCTTTAGATGACCTTCAAAAGAATTTAAAAATAAGTGGCTAGCACACCAGCAAAGGTTTAGCTTGTTGACTTGTAACATTTCTGATCATAATTCATTCAAGCACTCAACATGCTTCTTCTATGCTCCAGGAATACAAATTTGTAAATTTGAACACAATTAACAAAAATCCTTTTCCCAAAGGGCCTTATATTTCCCCAGGGTGAATCTTTGGAGAAAAGATATTATGGAGAACCTGTCTAGGAATGGCACAATACACATTTGGTTACTCAATATTTACTAAATTATCACAGGGCACATATAAAGATCACCTAAAAGACCATGAAATAAGCCCAAATTTAGTGCAATAAACACACGGAATTGATTTATTGTCTCCCAAAAACAAACAACAAAGTCAACAAAACACTCATGTTAGGCACCTGTTTGCTTGCACCTAAGAAATAACCATGGGTTCTCTTGGAAGGCTAGTCACCTGGGAGTCCTGCTTAACCACTACTTTGAATGTAAAGTGGTTTTCCTGAGTTTTATGGATCCTATGTCAAAGACCGTGTATGACACCACACTTGTCATCTTTCTCAAAGTGCCACAGTTCCTGCTTAGCTGTTGTCACAGTGTCACCTTCTCTTCCTCGAGGACATCCTCCACATTCCTTCTGCATTCACTGCCTTGGTTAGATGGTCCTTCATCACCACTGTTCAAATCCTCCTTGCCTGCCAATGGTATTTCCATCAGTAAACCTCTCCTCCTAAGGCAGTGGTTGTCAACCTGTGGGCCAAGACCCCTTGGGGGTGTGAGTGTCACATACCACACACTGACATTACAATTCATAACAGTAGCAAAATTACAATTATGAAGTAGCCATAAGATACTTTTATGATTGGGGGTCACCACAAATGAGGAGCTGTATCAAAGGGTCGCGGCATCAGGAAGGCTGAGAACCACTGTCCCAAGGGGATGAGAGCCAGTTCTACCTGCCTTTAGTCCCATTTGTAAAGCTGACTAGAGTCTGCCTTCCTCATAATTCTGTATCCTACATCTGAAAGGAGGACCCTGAGGAGGCCTCAGGACTCTCAGGCAAGCATCGACACAATGCTTCAGTTTTCATCTGACACATCTGCAAGACACCTGTCTGGAAATATCAGTCTGGGAGTTACTAATGAGACCTTGATAACTAAAATGTTATTTCTATGCCGGGGGAGAAGGGGGTTAGTGCACAAGGGAGGCTATGCATCCCAAGAAGATGATTCTGGGGATGCTGAGAACAGCCTAGGGAAGGTTACTTATTGAAGGATCCCACAGGCACAGGCCATTTCTACCCAGAGATTCGATGCCCACTGGTTTGCCTGTTTGGTGATCAGTTGGGCCTTCGTTTGCCAAACCCACATTTTACAGACAGCCTTGCCCAGTGTCAATAATTAACAGCAAAAAGACGCCAGTGATTTGGGATACAAGCACAGTGAGCCACGGTTTAGCCTTATGGCTCCTACAGGCACAGTTGGATGAATGAATTTGCCTCTCTCTAGAATGGATCCGGAAGGGTGAAAAGCGGCGACATCAAATAGCCATGAGTGGTTGGCTCAAAGAAGCTCCAGGCATTCATGGGCCTGCACATGAGGAAGCAATACTTCAACAGCGCTCTAAGGGAAACGGAATTATGACAGGAAACATTTTAAAAAGTATCATCAGTGTGTCTCGGAAAACTGCCAGTGAGATTTAAATTACAAATCCCCATTTTCCCTTAAAAGTGCTTTCTAATAACACTGGCGACATCCCAAACAGCTTCCTCTGCCAGTTTATCAATAGTACCTCACCAGCTCAGCAAGAAGGGGGGGGGGATGCCCAGAGAACATAAATCTCTTCATTTCTAGAGTAAATCATAATTTTATCTTGCTGGGCATTTATCCACAGGATTTGCTCCTAAATGAATTTAGGAAATGAATATGACCTTTAGTAGATAATTTGGTTCCCACATGGAAAAAAGCAGAAAAGAGGCAAAACAAGAATGGTGAATGTTGGCCCAAAGTAAAAGTAGTAACAGGGGCGGAGAGGGAGGGGGTGGGACTTCATCTAGAAAAGAGAAAAGGTTCAAAGTCAACCAAAAAGTACAAAAAAGAAAAATAGTATTCCGTCTATTGGAACGACGAGCCACTGCCCAAGGGACAAAACTGGAACGTAGCAGAGATTTCGGAGTTCAAAACTCCTTGACTCTACAAACGATCGTATTTTGCCTAAAACCGGCTGGGCTGAACATTCTCAAAAAGGGCTGGCAGTGGGGGAACCACTCCCGGGCATGACAGGGAGGTGGAGAGCCTCCTAAACTCAAGGAGGAGCCTCGGGTTAGGCCGGATCAGGGGAAAGCTGAGGTTTCTAGCATTGCTCCAAGCTGTCCAGCGCTCACTGACCCGAGGGCGACAGCAGATTCCACGTGGGAATCCGGGACAGGGGAGCACATCCTCCACAGCCGCCAGAGCGCTCGTGACATCGAGCCCCCGAAGAGCCACGGAGCAGGGGAGTGCAGGGGTAGGAGGGGGGGTGTCCGTGGGGCTCGCGGGCGCGGCCACTCACCGATGCCGAGCCCCACGACCAGGCGGCCGGCCAGCAGCGTCTCCTTGTTGGGAGCGGCGGCCAGCACGGTGGAGCCCGCGGTGCACAGGGCGCTGGCGAGCAGGATGGAGCTGCGCCGGCCGAGAGCTCCGTTCAGGGCCCCTCCGGCCAGCGCCGCGACGGCGGCCGCGCCCACAGCGCTCGACACCAGCAGCTCCTGCCACATCGAGCTCAGGCGCATCTGGCGCCGCAGCGGCAGCATGGCCCCCGACACCACGCCGGTGTCGTAGCCGAACAGGAAGCCGCCGAGCGCCGAGAAGGCGGCGGCCGCGTACACCATGGCGGGGGTCTCGTCGCGCTGGAACTGCCGCCGTGCGGCGCGCTCCAGCTCCGAACCCTGCAGGCTGGTGGCCGACTCGGCGGCGGCCAGCAGGCTGCGCTCCCCGCCCGGCGCCCCCGGCTCCGGCTGCCGGCGGCGCCGCTCGCCCATCAGGCTGCTCAGGCTGCGCAGCGTGTACTCCACGTCCTCGCTCGCCTTGCGGGACATCGGAGGGGACGGGAGGGCGCCGCCGGGGCGGCTGCGGTGAAGTTCCGTGGGGGCACCGCGCACTCGCTCGCGGCCAGCTGCTGAGCCGCTCGCTGCGCCTCCAGCCACCAAAGCCACCCGCCCCGGCAGCCTCCGCTAGGCTGGCGCTGCGAAGCGGTCGGGGGGGCGGGGTCGTGCGTCACTTGGCCGCTTAGAGGGGAGGGGCCGAGGGAAACCGCCTCCTTTCATGGGCGGGGCCCGCCTCCCTCTGTGGGCGGGGCCAAGCCGCAGGCCCGCAGGCCGACTTGGTCTTGCTGGAGGCGCGGTTCCTGGGCCCCTGGAAGCCCGCATTGGGGGCTGCAGCTGAGGCCCACAGCAGAGTATGCATCAGATAGAAGTCTCTAAGATGTCCTGTCCGCCTTCCAGCACTCTTAGGTGGCCGAGGCTGGGACTACCTGACACCGTCCTAGTCCTACCTATTCTGTTGCAGTGTGTGTCCTACTGGTCTCCTGCTGTTAGTTTACTTTGGAGCAGGTCAGGACCATGGTCTCTGGTGTCTCTAGTTTTCCTTTTCCCCTGCTAGTCCTTCCTCACATTCTGCCCTTCTAAAAAGCATGCTACGTCGTGACTCTCTGAGGATAGAGATAACTTATCTCCCGAGTGAGTGAGTCCTCGACTTCTTCCTGTGGACCCCCAAAGAGAAAGGCAACTTTAGGTTGCTCTTACACAGCCAGCTGATTCCAAGTGGAACTAGGAAACCTGAGAACCTGATTTGTGGTCTGATAGGTAATTGCCACCTTCCTTGACCAGCGTGCCAGCCCCAAAGAATGTCTTCTCTCTTCTCTCCTCTCTCCGACAATCCCCACTGCTGGCTGCCCTTGATTTAGAGAAGTTATTTGAAATGTCCCATTTGCCTGAAACAGTCATTTCAAAGCGTTTGAAGACGATTATTTTAATTGCTAATTGCCAGTTGTTGGTTTGGAAACCGTGCCTCCTCTTCATTTAAATGCACTTCAGGAGATAAAAACTAATAAATATTTTTCTGATGCAGTCTCTTTTTTCAGGCATAGGACACCAGATTTAATTGAAAACTAAATTTAAGATCCCTGATTTCCATCAACCATTCCTGCTCTTATTTTGGTTCCCTTATTTGAGTAAAAGTTTCTTAGCATGAGGCCTGCTCGTGAAGTCCGAGCCTGTTTCTTTAGAGGAACGAGCTTTGTCATCCGTGTTACACTATGAAGTTACTAGAAATCTCCAAAGTCCGCGGTGCTTTGATTATCAGACACCATATCTCCTTAATTTGCACTTTCCAGCAATGGGAGTGGGGGGGGGAGCATATGGAGAAAATACGAGCTCAGAGGAATAGCTTTAAATATATCGGGTAGCTTTAAAGCAAGGCTTAACCATCTTCCCAGGGAAAGATTAAACACAACCTTAGACTCTGTAACAATGAAATTCAGTCTACAGAAGATCCAGGCAAGCGTGCCTTTTCCTGAGATGACTGTAATAAAAGTGCGCCCCCAGGTGGTCAGCCGATTCATGCGCCTTCTGCAGAGAAGAGCTCCCTAGATGAGGTCAGTTAACAGTTTCTTCCTCTTGAGGTGAAATAGAAATAGCTGGGTTTCAAATTCAGCCAGCTAGTGTCGTGAACACCGTGACTCCTCACTTAGAAGCTCCAAATTCAACGTTGGGGGGGGGGTCCATAACACTGAAATAATACTCCTTAAAATGATCTAAATCTGGTACCTTATATGCCTGAGGTTAGGTTACCTCAAAAGGAAATGTGACATCAGTAACACATCAGAAAGCCAAACAGGGCTCATCTGAGCTTTTGGGAGGAACCAAGCTCAATTAGGCACCACGACGTTCAACTAAAAGAGAGTTCCCAGTAGTCTGCCTCAGCTTAACATCATGAGGAGATAGAAAGTTCGAGGCTGAGACTAGGCAGAATCCATGTCCCCCAGAGTTTCACAGAGCGTTTAGAAACCACTAGGTTAGTTTACATACCATTTTCACTCACTTTAAAATGCTCAGCACGAGCTTATTGACTAGATTATGAAAAAAATCACTTTTAAATTACAATCAATTGCTAATCGAGATAAAGTATAGGCACCATTATTGACCTACTAAGTGAGTTCTAAATCCCAAAGTTTAGGGACATTTATTAATTCATTCCCAAAACACTGGGACCCACCATAGAAGAAGAAAATAAGAGAGTTTTTGGATACACTGCTACACATCCTGAACACTGGGCAGAGACATTGGTAATTAAACCAGTGAAAATGTTGTGTAGTTGGACTAAAGATGCAATTAGAGAATGTTTGTCCCCAAATTCAGTTCTCAATTAAACACACACACACATACACACACACACACACACACACACACACACACACACACACAAATGATGGGGGTATTGATCTGGAAGAAGGGATGAGAATTTGAAAGCCCAATATAGTCTGCTTACTAAACGTTTATTTTTAGTTACACACACTGTCTATCCTTATTTTTAAAAATATAGCAATAAAGATAACTCCCCCTTAAAAATTTCCTTCCAAGATGGGGTGACTTGAATGAGAATGGGAGCCATAGTCTCATATGTTTGAATACTCTGTCTTCAGTTGGTGGAACTATTTGGGTAGGATTGAGTGGTGTGGCTTTGTTGGAGGAGGTGTGTCCCTGGGAGTCAACTTGGAGGTTTCAAAAGCCAATGCCATTTGAAATTCCATTTGACTTCTCTCTCTCTCTGCCTCTTGACTGTGGGCCAGATGTTCCAGCTACTGGTTCAACCATGCCTGCCTGCCTGCTGCCATGTGCCAACCAAGATGGCCATGAACTACCCTTCTGGGATTGTGAGACTCAAATTGAATGTTTTGTTTTGTAAGTTGTTGTGTCCATGTTTTGTTAGGGTACGAGAAAAGTAACTGAGATGCAAGACATCTCTCTCAGAGACATTTCCACTATGAAATACACATTTTAAGAATTGTATGTTAATAAGTGTATATATTTGTATATATACATGTATATGCTTGCATATACACATAATGAAACAGAACTCAATGTTTGGTTTTGTTTATCGAGGGTTGCAAGAGAAAGAAACCCAAGTCAAATGGGTTGAAATAAAGGATTTACTGGGTTTTTTACCTCTGAAATGTGTCTAGTAAGTACAAATGTATAGGACTCAAAACGCAGGGACTCACTGTGGTGGTTGGAATGAGAACGACCCCAGAGGTTCATATTTTTCAATATATGGTTCCCAATTAGTGTAACTTTTGGGGGGAAACTTAAGGGGTGTGGCCTAGTTGGAGAAGGTGTGTCACTGGGGCCAGGCATTGAGTTTTCAAAAGATGTTTTCACCACCACTACTGCACGTGCATCCTCTGTGTGGATGAAGATGTGAGCTCTCAGGTGCTGCTCCAGCTAGATGTCTCCCTGCTGGTTGTCATGCTCTCCACCATGATGGTCATAGACTCTCACCTTCCGAAACCCAAATAAATGCTTTCTTTAAGGTGCGTTGGTCATAATGTTTCATCACAGCCATAGAAGAATAATTAATACATTTCCATTCTCCTCTGCTTCTTGTGACTGCAGCTGATTTCTCAAATTCCATGTGGTACACCAAAGGATTCAACAAGCTCGAAACCTGTTACCTTTTCCACTCATATCCGAGAGAATGGGGAGAAGGTGGGCTTCTCTAAAGCCCTAGCCAGATTCTTATTGTATCTAATTGAATATGGCCATTCCGGAATGTGATGATGTATTGTTTATGATCTAATAAAGCCACTGGAGATCAGTTTGCAAAGCCAGCCGTAATAGTTAGCTATGGAAGACAGACACACATCCTTAATCCCAGGACTCAGGTAGACGGATCACCATTAGTTCAAGGACACGCTGACCACATGAAAGAAACAGCTTACTCAAAGGAGATCTCAGCATCTGGGACCACATGCCTTCAATCCCAGCTCTAGGGAGGTGGAAACAGGAGTGATAAGACTGGGCAGAGAAAGGAATATAAGGAAGAGGAGACAAGAATTGAGAACTTTTGCCTATGAGGATTGGTGGAGACAAGATTTCAGCTGGGTAGAGGTAAGATATACTGGCTTGGCTACTTTGCTTCTCTGATCTTCAGTGGCTTTAATAAATCATAAACAATCTATCACCACAGAGGAATCCTCTGAGTGGTTCATCGAACAGATGAACTCACAGTGGCTGTGATTGTATGAGACCTACTTAAGATCAAAACAGATGAAATCCCATTACAGATGGTGTGATGGTTTGAATGAAAATGGCCTCTTAGGCTCATATGTTTGGGTGCTTGGTCCTCAATTGTCAAAACTGCTTCTGGGCAGAGACTTGCTGAAGGAAGTATGTCACTAGGGATGGTCTATGAGGTTTCCAAAGCCCAAAGCAGGCCCAATCTTGCTCTTTCTCTCTCTGCCTGCTGTCTGTGAACATGATGTAAACTCTCAGCTACTCCAATGCCATGCTTGCCAGCCTGCCACCATTCTCTCATGGATTAACCCTCTGAAACTGTATGCAAGCCCCCAATTAAATGCTTTCTTTCATAAGCGGCCTTGATTATGGTGTCTCTTCACAGCAATCGAACTGTAACTAAGACAGAAATTGAGGGAGGGGCTCATGAAGTAGTATTCCTAGCTGAGAAGCTATTAGCAATTGGTGGGGGAAAGAGAGTAAGCTTTCTTCACAGAGACCCTGAGACTACCCATGATTGTGGTGATATATTGTTTATGATCTGATTAAGAAAGCTTACCTGGAGATCAGAATGCAAAGCTAGCCATAGCCATAAAGGCCAGGCAGTGGTGGCACACGCCATTTTTTCTTATTTTTTGTTTAAATTAAAAACAACCCCATTTTACATACCAATCCCAGTTCTCCCTCCCTCCTGCCCTCCCATTCTCCCTACCATCTCCCCAGCCCACCCCTGACCAACCCACTCCTCAGAAAAGGTGAGGCCTCCCATGGGCATTATCAAAGTCTGTCACACCATGTGGGGCAGGACCTAGGCACTCCCCTTGAATCTAGGCCAAGAGAGTATCCCTCCATAGGGAATGGACTCCAAAAAGACAGTTTATGCATGTGGGATGAATACTGGTTCAACTGCTGGAGGCCCCATAGACTGTCCAAGTCCCCAACGGACACCCATGTTCAGGGGGCCTGGTTTGCTCCTATGCTGGTTCCCCAGCTGTCAGACTGGGGTCTGTGAGCTCCCATTTGCTCAGATCAGCTGTTTCTGTGGGTTTCCCCAACACGGTCTTCACCCCTTTGCTCATCACTCCTCCCTCTCTACAACTGGATTCCAGGAGTTCAGCTCAGTACTTAGCTGTGAATCTCTGCTTCTGCTTCCATGAGCTACTGGATGAAGGCTCTAGGATGCCATTTAAGGTAGTCATCAATCTCATTATAGGGTAAGAGCAGTTAAGGTATTCTCTCCACTATTGTTTAGATTCTTAGTGGGGATCATCCTTATGGATCCCTGGACATTTCCTTGGTGCCAGATTTCTTGTTAAGCCCATAACGGGCTCTCTCTATCAAGTTATCTCCTTCCTTGCTCTCCTTCTCTGTTCTTCCCCAAACTCAACCTCTCTCATGTTCTCCTCCCCCTCCCCTTTCTCTTTTCCCTTTCTTTCTTTTCTACCTCCTTCCACCCTCCCCCCATGTTCCCAATTTACTCAGGAGATCTTGTCCCTTTCTCCTCCTCAGAGGGTCCATGCATGTCTCTCTTAGGGTCCTCCTTGTTTCCTAGGTACTCCGCGGTTATGGATTGCAGGCTGGTAATCCTTTGTTCTATGCCTAATATTCACTTATGAGTGAGTACATACCATGTCTGTCTTTCTGTGTCTGGGTTACCTCATTCAGGATGGTTTCTTCTAGTTCCATCCACTTGTGGCACATTCCCTTAATCCCAGGACTCTAGAGACAGAGGCAGATGGATCTCTATCAGTTCAAGACCACCCAGGACTCCATGGGAGTGAATCAGTCTAAAAAAGGAAACACAGCGCATGCCTTTAATCACAGCACTAAAGAGGTGTATAAGACAGGAGCAGGGTCTCAGACTTGGCATTCAGTCTTGGGAATTAGTCTCCTGTCATTTTGAGGACAGCCTTGGTAGAGGTAAGAGCTCCTGAGGGCTCAGCTGCTTTGCTTTTCTGATCTTCAGCTAAGTTTTATAACATCTTAAACAATATGTCACCACACATGATCCAGTAGATGATCCTTTATCCAGGCACATACAGGCAGCACTAAGTGGATTCAGTGAGTTTTAATAAACAGGAAGCATGTGAAATTGGGAGGAAAAAGTGATGGGGGGGTGAAGCTGGGGATTAATTGGAGGGCACAGACTGGGAGGTAGATTTTTATCAGAACGCATTATATAGATACATGAAATTCACAATTAAAAGAAGAAAATCTTGACAACTGTGAAGCTAAAAACTAAGTCAATATGCTTATCAATTAACAGTCGGTGATCTTCGAAAATTGCTTTGGGCTCTTTACAGAGAACTAGAAAAGTCATTTTAGTAGTAGCTTTTCCAAAATAAGTCAGTAAGTAACTAAAAAGGAAGCCTCCTACTGTGAAAAATTACTCCTTGAAATACAATGCAAGAAAAGAAATGCATTTCTGAGCTGAAGGGCTAAGATAATTTCATTATCTTCTCTAAATCATTGATTTCTTGCAAGATGTTTGGATGAATATAGAAGAAATCTATAAATAAGATACAGTCACTAGCTAAAACAGACAGATCCCCCTTGGGGGAATGATTTGGTAAAGAAATGAGAATGTAATCAAGCACAGACAAGAAAAGCCAAGTCAATTCTGCTGCGTGATCTTTGTTTTCCAGAATGGTGATGAAATTTCCATGCAAGAGCCCAAGGGTAATCATAGTTATTTCTCACAGACATCCCAGCTAAGTGTACCCTCGGTCTCCAATTACTATGGTGATGGACGAGAAACTCACAGTGTGAAGAATAGAGGGGAACATAGTCAACTAATATACACAGCATTACTAGGGCTTTCCTTTGCTAGACTAGACTACTTCCTCCTCTGGCCTGGCATGTATCATAATACTAATAGACCTAAAGCCCCCTTTTATATTAAAAATGCATTAATTTTAAGTTTAGGTGTGCAGCATTACTGCTTTGTGATCCCCCTCTGTGTATTACATATTTGTTTGCTTATTTATTTATTATGTCATATTGTATCTTAGCTTAGGTTTCTATTGCAGCAATGAAACACCATGACCAAGGCAACTTGGGGAGGAAAGGATTTATTTCAGCTTACACTTGCAGGTAAGAGCTTACCATTGAGGGAAGTCAGGATAGGAACTCACACAGGGCAGGAACCTGGAGGCAGGAGCTAATGCAGAGCCCATGGAGGGGTGCTGCTTACTGGTTTGCTCATCATGGCTTGCTTGCCCTGGTTTCTTATAGAACTTAGAACTACCAGCACAGGGATAGCACCACTAGCAATGGGCTGCCTCCCCCAATTGATCACTAATGAAGAAAATTACCTATAGCTGGATCTTACAGAGGTATTTCCTCAGTTGAAGGTCCCTCCTTTCAGATGACTCTAGCTTGTGTCAAGTTGACATAAAACTACCAAGAATATATGGCCTTTTCTTGTAATGACCTAGTTGGTCTGGAACTTGCTTTATGGACAAGGCTGGCCTTGTACTTTTTTGAATCTCCTGTTTATTCCTCCTAAGTACTGTGGGATACATATTTCCTTCATGATTGCCTCTATCTCCCTGGTTCAGGTGATCCTTTTGATCCATGCACAAATGGAATGTGAAGGAGGAGGTGGACACCTGCCTACCCAGCCAGATCACCTAATCAAGTGAGAAAACAGATGTTACAGCAGCTGGATATCACATCCCATTGTTTGTTTTTAAGGCCGTCAGTCAGTCACAATATATCCCAGGTTGCCCTTGAACCTGTTATCCTCTGACCTCGGCCTACCAAATGCTGTGGTTCCAACACTGAACTTTGAGTTTAATTTAGAATAACACAATACAATAAAAGCATGTTTTCTATTATGGAATTAATTTAAAATCAAGACCAGAAAGTCCTTAGCATTTAGAAGTTAAATAACACTCTTCTGAATTATCCATGGGTCAAAGATAGAACTGTGAAGGAGATTAGAATGTATTTTAACTGAATGAAAATAAAAATGTAACTGATGAAAATTTGTGAGGTGCCTCTCTTTCAGAGCCCTTGAGAACTTGGTAGTACTAAATGCCTGTAATAGCAACAAAGGTAGCTCGTGTTAATTGTCTCAGCTTTAACCTGAAAAGACAGAAAGCAAGAGCAAGCTAAAACTTCAAGTAGAAGTTAAGAGAGGGAAACAATGAATCAGAAGACAGAGATGGTCAATGAAATGAAATTCATTAAAAGATCAATGATGCATGTAGCCCTCTCAGAAAGACCAGGGGAAAAGAGAAGGTAGAGTGTAACTCTCAGTAATGAGGGAGGGAGTATCACTCAAGAGTCTACAAATACTGTAAAAATTTTCTGTCCACGGCTTGATGCAGTGTATACACTTCCTCAAATAAACTGCCTACAGTCATACCAATAGTCTTAGCTTTTATTACTGTGATAAAACACCATGACCAAAAACAATTTATGGAGGAAAGGGATTATTTCATTTTACAGTTTGTAGTTGATCAGCTAGAGAAGTCAGGGTAGGAATTTGAGGCAGGAACCTAGAGGTAGATGCTGATAAAGAGTGTAGAGGGTGCTGCTTACTGTCTTACTCCTCGTGGCTTGCTCAGCCTGCTTTCTTAAACAATCCAGGATCACCAGACTAGGGATGGCCCTATCCACCATGGATTGGGCCCTCCTACATCAATCAAGAAACTGCCCTATAAGCTTGCCTACAGGACAAGCCAATGGAGGCATTTTCAAAGTTATTATTTCTTCAAATGACTCTAGCTTATGTCAAGTTGACCAGCACAGCAAATGAACAAACAAACCAGTGAATGAGAAATAGAAAGAAATAACAAATAATTCTGGGCAACAGAGGTGGCTAAGAGGTAGCTATGAATATTTGATGCTCTTCTGAATGACCCGTT